ATGGCCTTAAATTACACCTTCATTTTGAGTATCTACCGTGTAAACGGTAAAGCTTTGGGGATGTACCTGTAGCCCTCTCCTGAGGGTTTAAATAATTCTGTGGATCTGCATAAACATAAACCCTTCACTGGGTATTGTATAACAGATACCCCCATCTTTGCCTGGCCAAGTGCGCTAGCAGCTTGCCTGTAGTCGGAGGGCTTCGATTTCCACCAAGTGGAACAAATCTGCCCACTTATCTGTGCTGCAGGTCTGCGGTAACGAATAGCTCGGCACAGAACTTTAATCTGATGCCAAGAGAACATGTTTCATGCTGGAAGCCTTGATCTCCTCTCAGGCACATTAAAGTCAAGGGCACGCTCGGGCTGTGGTGTTGTGTGTCACAGACAGCGTCGATACGGCATGGATTTGTTCTTCAGAGTTAAGAGCATCTTCGTTGTACAACATCATAGGACAGTCCTCAGGGCTTCGAGGGCTAGAGGACAAACTTCCCCTCCCCAAAACAGTTTGTGGGAATGACAAACCAAGCCTGCTGAAGAATTTTGAGGCGAGCCAGGAGGGTGACCCTGTAATGCACTGGATATTGTAGCTCGAAACCAAACAGAAGTTCAGAAAGCTTTCTGCCTTCTGCTCGTAAAGGACACGTGAGATTGTTCTGCTGTTTTAAACTGTGCTGGGGTCCTGAGGATTGCAGAGCTGCTTAGCTTACAGGGTTGTTGTGTCGGTTTAAGGGAATTTATTTTTACATTTAATTGTACTGTCCTTTATTTTCTAAGTATTTTCATAGAATTGTTAAATCCTAACAATTGTACTTTTAAGAAAATTGTCCTTTTTGTAGTCTTATTTATGCTGAGATGTTTCTAGACTCTGAGAGCGCCATAGGAGCGCTGGGCTTGGTTTTGTTTCCTGTTCTGTTGCTGGTAGGTCAGTGAAATACAGGATTTACACTAAGCCCTCTCCCAAAATGCAGGTTCTGCTGCACTGATCTGGACCTAGATTAGCAGGAGAATGGATATTCTCGGGTAGTTGCTGGATTTTGCTAAAACCTGTGAATTTTCATTCCGTTTTCTGTCTGGCCGGATTAGCTAGGCTCACCTGCACCTGCTTAGTTAAAAACTAAATCAGCTGTTGCTCTCAAAGCCTGAGTCAAACCAGCGTGGGGGTGAGAAATCCGCAACGGGAGCGCGGTGTCTCTGTATCCAGCAGAGCTCTTAGAGCGCGAAGACAAAGCAAATCAGCAGTGGATGCGTTTGCCTCTAAGATCTGTGTGAAGTCCTCTGTGTGAAGGAGCTGGTCCTGCGCTGCTGTCGGGCGACTAAAAGACTGGGCGTCATGTTTTGGCACAGTGTAATGTACTGGGGTCACTTGGGGACCTGCCATCGTGACCGCTGGGGAAGTGGTGAGACACCGATGAAGGGCACCTACGAGCTGTTTGAGAAATGGAGAACTTTAAATTATTGCTTTATGACCCCAGGGTGCCTGTTTCACTCCGTGTCTGAGGGAGGTTGCTTCCCCTCCACCCCCTTAGTTTTATTGTTCCTGGGCGTGGGATTATACTTTGCCTGACAATTACAGCACGTAAGAAGTTCTCCTGGGTCATCTGCTCCGCTGCGTTTATCTGGTAGTTTGTGTTCCCGTACTCTCCTGCCCACACTTTTGCTTTTGCTGGTTGAAATCGTCCATTTGTCTCCATCTAGGGGAAAGTAGAGAAAAAGCCAGAATCAGCCGCTGCTGCACGAAAGTCTGAGCCCAATGCAGTCTCTAAAATGGCTACTACTAAAACAACCGTATCAAAAGAGGGTGCCCCAAAACAGCCCAATGGGAAAGTGAGTTTATTTCAGACTTTTCTCTGTGGGAGATGAAGGAAAACATTTCCATTTTGAGTCACTTTCCCTTCTCTTCAACTCTTCTGCTTTCTCCTGTCAGTGTCACTGTTCCTTGCACAGTCACTCTTCCAATTCTTTCTTGTAAACCCTGAGTTGTTCTCAGTTAAAAACACTCAGAGATCACTGTCGTAGGTATCTCTCCCGTGCCTGCTGTAAATGTGAATGTTTCAGAGCCGAGTCCTCCCATTTCCCCTTCTGGGTGGACAGGCTTACCTTTGAGTCGGAGGTTTCCCTTAAGACCAGTCCTTCGTACCCGGCACTGCTTGTGCCGCGGGAGAGCGCGCTTCAGTTCGGCGCTGCGGCGGGGGGCGGACCGTGAAGGACTCCACACCCTTCCTGCCACATGGCCGAGCCACTTGTAGCAGAACTCGCTGCGTTGGGCGGTCACCGTTTGAGGGGTCACTCCGAAGCTGTGTGACGTGGCAGTTCAGCCCGAGGGCGGGGGGGGCGAGGCGGGAGAGCCTGCAGAGCTGTTGTCAGGCCGAGCCCGTTAATGAACGGACGCGGGGTTTGTACCTCTGGAGAAGTCAGTTGACCGCTCCACACTTCCATGGCACGGTGCGTTTTCCGAGCTGCTGTTGCCCTGAATCCAGTCTTTCTGAACTGGCTGAGGAGCTTTTGGAAGCCTGCTAAAATGAGAATGGTCTGGTGGTTCCTTTTGTGCTTCGAATTTATCACCTCTCTCTAGAAAGTAGGATACAGCTTCTGCCACGTTTTGTGCTGTGTTAAATAACTCCCAGACTAAACACGTGTCGTAACTAACCTTTGTAAACACGGGCCTGTTACTCTAGCCGGGTTACCACCTTTGTGAGTAGAAGCTCACTTAGCGCGCTCCTTTTGTGCTTTGAAAAAGTCTGAGTCAGCTTAGTTTGAAGGAGAAACAATTCAATTAACGTAAGGCTTGTCTGGTAAAGTTTAACTGAAGGTTTGACAACCTTCACCAGCAGAATTGTTTCTCCGACGGGGCTTTACTGCCCAGAGGTTCTGAAAGACGTTGCTCAGGGCTGGAGCCAGTCCAGGCAAATGGGAGGAAAGGGCAGACGCTGAGCAGTTCGCGGCGTGGTTGGAAGTGGTGGCCCCGCGGCCCCGAGCCGTGGAGGGAGGAGGCAGCTGAGCTGGTTCCCCCTGCTCTGGGGCAGCTCTCCCCAGAGAGCTCCCAGGAGGCTTCAGGGGGGCCGTAGATGAACCCGGCCCAAAAAAGCCGGGCGCCGCCAGCCCGTAGAGCCGGGGCGGAGCGCTCTTCCCGGCAGCGCCTGCGCTCTCGCACTAACACTGTCTGTGCAGCCTCTTGTTTCCTTCACTTTTTTTTTTCCTCACTCTCCTCCTCAGTTGCTTTCACACCTAATACTAAAGTTGGATTGAGTTTAACACGACTCCTTGTTTATCCACCGTGTTAGAGCAGCTGCTCCAGCCTGCCGTATGACAACTCTAACCAGTCCTCTTCCCTTGTGTTGTTTTCCATTCTGTAACATTCCAGGTCCAGATAGTCTCCAAAAAAGCGAACTACAGCCATGTTCAGTCCAAGTGTGGTTCCAAGGACAATATTAAGCATGTCCCTGGAGGTGGGAATGTAAGTATGGGCTCTGGGCAAGCTGTCTTTCTACTAACTCCTCTTGTACTATGTTTTTTATATGTCAGTCTCAAGAATGCTGTGTTTCAGGCAGAAAGGTGTGGCAAAGTTTCAGGGCTTCTGGAAGTAACGTAGGCTGGAGAATTACACACCCCCCCCACCCCACCCATGGGATGCTAGGTTGAACATGTGTGTTTTGTTTCACAGCCCTACAAAGGCACCTGCCCTGTTTCTCGCATGGTTTACGGGGTGTTCACGACCAAATGTCGGATGTGCACATCACTGACCCCAGGAGTTAGCTCACCGTGGATTCCCTCATCGGTCCTCTGACCGGGTTTAGACGCCTGATTTTTCAGAGGAAATGAATTGTGGCCTCTAAGTGCCTGTTACCCCTCACTGGGTACTAGAGCGAGCCTGAGCCTGACTAATTCCACTTCTCACAAGGAGGGAGACTTTGAAAAAGGAGGAGGAAAAGACTCTGGGACTTAATCTTTGAGCAGCGATTAATTTCTAAATGTAAAGGCTACTGGTATCTCTGGCAGCAGAGTTGAGCTTATTAAAGCAGAAGGCTAATCTTGTAATGTTTGTGTACTTGGTTTGGACTATTATATCCTGAAAGTGTCTGGCAAAAAACCCAGGTTAACTATCTGGATACTAAAGCTTTTTGAAAACGTGACTGTGGTTTGGGAGGCTTGTTTCCTTGTGGGCAACCCTGTACTGCCCTAACGAACCTGCGCTGGGCTGTGTGTGCTGGGGATGGTTTGCCGAACTGCACAGGTTGGGTGGTTTCAGAGAGACACTTGAAGTGCTTCAGCCCAAGGAAGCTTGTTCCGTTGGTGTTGAAATACGCCGGGTTCCTGAGGAGCGGTGTCCAGCTGGCCCATCTCCTGCTGCTCTCTCCGTGCCCAGTGCCTGAGAGCCAGCGTCAGGGAAACTCCCTGCAGACGCTCAGCTTCTGGGGCCAGGCTTACGGTGGCTTCTGTCGGTGTGTTCTGTGTGACGTCTGGTTCAGCGGGTACAGATGTTTGTGCTGACTGCGGTGCCAGCCGACCTCTGTTCCTGGGACACACCTGGGTGGCTGTCCAGCTGGCTGAACCTTTACTGGCCAATTCTTCCTTAAATCTTTGCAAGCTGCAGCCAAATCCGGGTTCTTGCAAACCCCTTCCCTGCAGGTTGGTTGCCAGGATGGTAAGAGACAGACGTTGAAGTCACTCCTGCAGTGTCCACCTCACTAAGCTGAGCTTCCCCTTGGGAGGCTCTGGACACACGTCCCTGCTGCCCTCCGTGCCTCCCAGTTTGGGGGTGCCCAGCAGCGGTGGGGTTTGCCGTTCCTACCCAGCGGCTGCAGGAGCGCGTACGGCTGTGCGTGGAGCCTCCCGCGGAAACGCTCGTGCAGGAGGATTCTCTGCGCCGTAGAAAGCAAAACTGAGGTTGAGACCATCACGTCAGTTAGGTGCCCTCCTGAGACTTTTTCAGCTGTGCACGTTTCTGTTCCTGCCACGTATTGCATCCGGTTTTGCCGCCCCAGCTCGGGGCAGACTGTCGAGGCGTAGCCGGTGCTCCGTGGCAGAAGGCCCCGCGGCGGTGCTGTTGAAGGGCAGCTGTTGTAACTCCGCTGTTGGTGCCCTCGGAGGAGCCGTGTTTCAGAAGGCACTTGAATTTTGCCACTCGTGCCTTGTATAGCCTGTTAGTGGACAACGGGTCTCACTCATACTTTTCCTTTTTTTGAGGCCAACAGAAATGAGAATTAAATTGGGGTGGGGTGTATTTTTCTTGCTTGACTAACTACATTAGTGAACTATTCTTTCTTCTAATGAGTCCCCAGACCTGTCCTTTCCTCTCTACTGTCCTGTCCCGAGGACGTTCCCAGCTCTCGGGACAAGCGCGTGCCTGCTTTCTTTTTCTCTTCTTCCACACTCTCCTTTTACCACTGCAGTTCTCCTCCTTGCTCAACTACTGAAGCTTTTTGCTTTGAGAACAGAGAATGAAGTGCTGCTGATTTCCAGGTTCCAAATGGCCCCAAACCAGCCTCGGGCAGTCGCTCCCAGCCACCCAACGCCCCCAAACCCAGCATGGCCAGTACCGGTGTGAGCAGATGAGCCGCAGTGGCCGTCTGGCTAACTGTAAAAGCATTTCCTGTTATTCGCTTGGCATCTGCTCGCTGCCGTCGGGGCACTGTACTGTTAGTGTCCTCTCCCAAGATGTTTTCTTGTTCAGATGGTTATGATGGTCACTCCTAGTGGATGACTTCCCGGTGTTCCGTTCACGCTGCTGATGGGGACGGCTGGACAGGCCGTTGTTCTAGTCTGTGGCTCCAGTTCAAGCTTTTAGGAATCCTGTGCACAAGAGCTGTGGTTAGTAGCGAGCTGTGATTCAGCTTCAGGGTTGCTCTGGTAGAAGCAGTGGACATCCCACCTAAGCAAAGTGGCTCCTAGCTGGTACGCTCCGCTTGGGTACCCGTTTTGCCTTCTGCGCACGGAGATAACTTCTCCTCCCCTCCAAGATACCCAAGGAGGCGTGATCAAAAGCAGCAGATGTTGTTCCTACTCACGTTGTATTTGCCAGAAATATCTCGACACAAAGGCAGTTGGGTTTCCTGGGTAAAAGCTTTTGTTGTGCTTTAGTGTTTTCCCCCTCTCCTTTTGAAGAAAGGCACGGTAAAGAGCGAGATTTTACAGCGTGCGGGTAGTGTCCCTGTTGCTGGAGATTTCACAGGGTGATTTGGGATGTACACGTGTTTCTCTGCCCTTTGGCTTGATCTGTTCAGATGGCTTGGGAAATGGTCAGAGACAGAAAATCTAACAAGAGATGAGGATCACACTTCCCGTCTCAGCCTTTGTCTCAGGCTTTCGGATCTAAAGTTTATTTCCGGCACCAGAGTCTTTGGCTCGAAGAAGGCAAGCCCAGCCCCTCAAACATGGCTCCCATTGCAAACTGGAATCAACTACTGTCAGAAATCCTACAAGAAATACACTTCCGTGTGGGGGTAACTGTTTGGATCTCCAGGTGGAATCACGAGGAGGCGTGACTGGGTATGTCTACCCCGGCTGGTAACAAACATTAGTATTTTAAAACACATTTTGTGAAATAAATTTAGCTTTATTCCCGTGCCAAAATTCGGTAGCCATGATCCCAGTTTTTTGGAGTGCCTGGTGTCACTGAGTCAGGGTGCATGAACATGGAACAGCGCAGCAGGAGGCTGAACTGTGCTGCTCTTCTCATCCTGGGCAAACAAGACGTCAGGGCTTTGACTCATCCCTCTTCACAAGTACCGGGAGGATTCATGCTTCCTGAGAAAGATGTATCGCAAATGGTCATGATAATTCTCAGTAAGCTTTGAGGGGAGCTGGTAAGTGAATGAACTCTTACCATGTGCAAAAAGAAAGATTTTTTTTACATTTTCTCAGCGAGACGGTGTATAGCAGAACTTTCTGTGCACGTTGGGGTCGGCTGGTGGTCGCTGACACGACTGGAGAGGTGATCCTCTGAACGTCACTGCCAACAGCCCCCAGATTTTTCCCGTGGAAGGTTATCAGGTCAGAGGAGTAGGGGGTTAGACAGATGACCAGAAGTTCCTTCCAGTACAGGTTATCCTGTGTTTGCCTGAAATGAAAGATCTCCAGGTGGTTAGACAAAAAGTTCATTCTGGAGTAGGGGAATTTTTCATCCACCTGGAGCCGCAGGAGGAATGTTCAGGATGTCAGAAATGGGGCTCTGTACGATGCACTGCATCCAGGTGTCGGAGATGAAATATTTTTTGAGCAAAACCACCTAAAACTGTGACCTTTTGGCTCCACCTTTGTCCTACCCCAGAGAAGATGCTTCTGCCCAAATTCAAACTGATGCCCACGAACACTGTGCTAGAATATTTGGCTGATTGACTTGGAAGGTCGTTCCTGAGTCATGAATATCTCATGATTTCGTGACTGCATCGCCGTACGGTTTTTCATTGAAGGTTTTGTTGCCAGTATCGGGTCACTGGTAGAATGAAAGGAGATAATAGTGGGATGTATGTCCCTGCTCCCAGTGTGCTGGCTGTGAGAAGGATAGCTTCTTCCAGCAGTTTGTTCCACCTGGGCACGACAATCCTTCCCGGTGCCCTGCCCTCGGCAGGGAGCACAGACCGCTGTGAGGGGGCTGCAGACCCAGCCTGACGGTTGGACATGGGCCACGTTGAAGGTGGTAGAGAGGAAGAGTTGGAGCTGGTGGCTCGTCTCTGGCCCTACAGCAAGGTGACCTCTGTCCTGGTGGCTGCCCGGAGCTGCCCAGGCGATGGCCCGCGTCTTTGGAGGCAGAGCCGGCGCGGGGCGGAAGCAGTCTGGGGATCATGGCAATGGGATCGGCTTTTCGTGGTCCCTCTCCCAAGCGCTTCTGTGTTCCATGGATGTGCCAGGAACCCAAGACTCCCGTTCCTGGCTGCCGTCCACCTTAGTTTCATCTGGTCTCGGTTTCTCTCTGCTCCCATTAACCCCTTCTGGCTGGTGCCGGCCTTCAAGTAGCGCTAGAGCCGGCTGTGGCGTTGGGCACACAGTGGCTGGGGAGTCACCGTGCAAATACGGTTCCCGAGGCGTGACCTGACGGTTGAGGTGGCGCATCGGCCTCCAGACTCACAGGAAACGTTTCTCTGTGTTGAGTTGTTTCTTTTTGCCTCCTTAGGTGCAGATCCAGAACAAGAAGGTTGACCTTTCCAAAGTGTCCTCGAAGTGTGGCTCTAAAGCAAATATCAAGCATAAGCCAGGTAGAAATTTTACCATTTCCTCATGATTTGTCTGTAGATATTGCAAGTCGTTTAAATACAGCCCTGGATTGCGGCTGACATAGTTCAAGAGCTTTGTTGCTTTCTAGCAGTGCTGTCTAGCTGCTGTAGCAATTCGTGGTGGCTTTGTGAGCGGAGAAGGGATTAGGAGAGGTGGGATTTCACCTTGCCTGTGAAGACAATCCACTGCTTTGACTCAGTTCTCTTTTTTTTCCCCTCCCTATTTGGAGGAAAAAAAAAAGTGGATACTTGCCATGACCATTCCAGGAGTCTGGAAGCTTCATCCGTGCGTACAGCGGGCTTTGGGGCTCTCTGAACTTGTGTGTGCCGTGGAAGGATGAAGTAACTTCCCTCCAGTTCTTCAAAGCAGATACAAGGGCTTTTTTAGCCTTCAGTGCAGTAGCGGCTCCTGTCTTCTATAAAGCACTTTTGGCTCTTTAATGACCATCTCAGGAATTATTTGCTCTGCACTGAGAACACGGCAATTACTCTGCGTGAATCCCTGCAAATCTTGGGTTTGTCACCCAAGCGGTGACCAGCCCACCGCTCCGCTGGAGCACGGGCCGGTCTCGAGTTCCAGGTGCCGTGGCTGCTGGCAGATTGTTTGAGCTGTCCCTGTGTCACACCCTGAAGTGCGGTCAGTTCACTGCCTGGTTTGTCTGTGTCCGAGGCCGGTTATCTGCACAGGACAGCTCCCGGCCCTCGAACGTCCGCGCACAGGGGACAAAGTTCGCTGAGGAAAGCTGAACACAAACGCGACAAGCTTGTCTTTGTCTGCTCCTGGGAGTTTCCTGCACCCGTTCTGGTTGAAAGCAGTTCAACCTTACACACCGAGCACCACGCTTCAGTGCCTCAAAACGTGCTCCCGCTTTGAGAACGTGGTGCCACAACCACGACCTCTGTTTATTCAATGCTCTGTCATAACAAGCTGTGCGTGACAATAACGGCTCTTGTCCAGGGCTGATGAAAGCAGAGTAATCCATCCAGAATTGTCTGTGGTCAGATGTTTTAACCGATTCCGTTAGACCGAATCGGTTGGCTTCCATCATTGGCCATGCCAGGCTCCCGAAGTGCTGAGGACTGAGTCTTCAGTGATGCCGCTGGGAAGCAAAGCTGTGCTTAGCCATACTTCGGGCTTTTGAGAAACCGCCGGGACCACGGACTGCACATGTAGTCTTAGGTGTTGATGGCCTCTGCAGTATTCTAACCCCAGGAAACTCTTGCTGGAAACGTGCAGTTGTTTTTCTGACCCTCGGGTTCTCCTGAACCTGGTGCCCATCCGGTTCCCACACTTGGCTTCTCCTACCTGCACGGCTGCCTCCGGAGGAGCTCAGGCGGCGGCACGTGGGGCTGCGCCCGGGCAGCTCTCGGTCCCGGCAGTCAGACGGGGCAGGAGTGGGAGCCGGTAACGAGCAAGGGCAGGCAGGGAGCGCAAAGGAGCGGGACGTGTCCCGGCACGTGAGCTGGCAGAGACCTTGGCCGGGGCCGCGGAGAGGAGCGGGCAGCTGGCGTTGGCCGTCCCGGCCGCGCCGGTGTGGCAGCGGGTGGAAGAGGCGTCGCACCCCTCTGCTGGGGGAGGCAGGTTCACGAGCAGCTCGGGCGAGGCAGCGTCGAGGGTATCGTCAGCCCGTCTGTCCGGGCGCATGGCGTTGCCCACCCGAGGGCACCGCCGGGGCTGTGCCGTGCAGCCCGGCTTGCTCGCGGTGGTGCTTGGCCTGTGCGGGTGGAAATCACTGACTTTGATCTCACCAGTTTTGAGACTGAACCTGAACTGGAGAGGGACTCGAACACAAATGTGTTACGTGGTCCTGTCCCTCCTCCGAAGCACACTGGGTCCCCGGTGGTTCCTCGGTGGGGCTGGGAAGGGCTCACGTCTCGGGTGGGGTCGCGCCTCCTGCCCTCTCCCCTGCACCGTCCTGTTCTAGGGGGTGGAGATGTCAAAATTGAGAACCAGAAGCTGAACTTCAAGGAGAAGGCCCAAGCCAAAGTGGGTTCCCTGGACAACGTGGGACACTTGCCAGCAGGAGGAACTGTGAAGGTGGGTGCAGCAAGCTCTGGCCCGTCAGGGTAGGGTTTAAATTTGGTCCTTCTCCTTGTCGTGCTTGTAGTAGTGCAGCTTCTCCACCTTCAGCCTTTCGTAGCCATGTACCTATTTCTGTGGCCTCTGTCGGGAAGCCCAGGAGTACGTACGGGTCGAAAAGGAGAGAGCTGTGAACCGCCTCAGTGGCCGGCCTGAAGGGCTCCCTGCTAGCTCGTGCTGCCCGAACGTCCTTCCTCTAAGAATCCGAGAGCAGGGATCGCTCCGTAAGCTCTGAGCCCACCGGAGAAGCTGCCTGTGGCCCTTTCCCCCCCCTCTTTTTTTTTTTTTTTACCCCCGGTAAAGCTGGTGAGGCCAAAGGGCTCTGTGCTGGGAGACGGCACCTTGCGGCTCCGGGGAGCACTTTGGCCCCCACCGTGCGCTGCAGCCCAGCCCAAAGGCCCTCTGTGCGAGGAGGAGAAAAGATGGTCAGGCCCTCGTTGCCGTGACTCAGCGCTTCTCCCCGTGAGAACCCGAACTGCCCCCAGCCTCGGCTCGGCAGACGGCAGGTCTCGCTGCAGCCATGCGGCAGCTGTGCTCGCGGGAGGGACGTTACCCCCGCTTGAATGGCCGAGTGATGGATGCGTGGGCTTGACCTATCATGCCACGTAACGATTAGAGCGGGGCTGGGGATTATGTTGAGGTAGTCACCAGCTTTTATGTGAAACCCCGCTGCTTCTGAATTGGCTGGTAGCTCTGGAAGCGGAGAAAACAATCCGGTGCTCCGGCATCAGGGCTGCTAAAATACGACTTGGTCTTTGCCCCCAGCAGGACAGAGAGCTGGAGGAGGAGACCCCTTCTAAGCCCTGAGTTCCCTTGGTTGTCCCAGCCTTGTTTTGTCTGAGCACTTTTGTGTTGTGGAAGGGTTTAGAGTTCAGCCGGGTTGAGCCATTGTGTGGAACGCCGAGTGAATTCGAAAGAAATAATCCCTGTCCTAAAGAGCAGATCATGCAGCAGAATTCACAAGTATATTCAGTATGTGCTTAATCATCCCCATTAAAACCAGGCAGGAGGGGCCTGCCAGAATATTTGCTGGGGACACATCAGGGCTCTCCTATCTCCAGTCCTTTATGTAAACTTCAGCCGGGCAAATCGGGCAAATCAGGGCGCGGTGAAAAGCTGAGAGGAGCTAGAGAAGCTGCTGGTGTGTTGGTGGGGATAGAGAGCTTTCTGTGCCAGCGCCGGGCTGTTCCAGTTTACTGGAGCGCCCAGTCCCTATACTGGTGCTCTTTGCTGGTAACTAGGCTTTTCATTGAAGTTCTAAAATCTTACCTGTTCAGAATTAGTCTGATTTTATTTTAATTTTTTTTTTTAGTATTTTTCCGCCATCTTCATGGGTGCGAAGAGTCCCTGTCGATGACACTCTCATCCAGTATTTTTGGGGCTCTAGCCTTTAGCCTGGCAATGCAGAGACCAAATCCTTTCCCTCTTGCATCCCACAGGCCTCGGCCGGCTCTGTCGTCAAGAGCAGAGGCAATTCAGGGGCTGGCTGCTCTCGCTCAGCTCCCCTCCGTGCCTCTTGGGGGGTGTGGGGGTCCTCCAGGCCCCCGTAGCCCCTGCAGAAGCACCTAGATCTGTGTTGCTGTCAGCTCTTGGGTGGGAACTCGCACCCCAGAAGGAAGGCCGGGGGGTTTTGCCGCTGGCCGAGCGAGCAGGTCGGGAGCCGGCGCCTCGCCTCGCCGCCCGGGCTGCAGGGCGAGGGCCTGCCGTGGGCTGGAGGAGAGCGAGGAGCCTTATTGCCGTGGGTCAGCCCTTGTGGGGCGAGGACGCGGGGTCGGAGCCCAGCTGCTCTGGCCTGGAGGCTGCCGCCCCCTGCCCGTACTCCTCCCTACGGAACGAGGCAGCCGGGAGATGGTCCTGGCTGGACGGGGTTGCTCCTTCCCGGAGCTGGGCTGGCCCAGCATGCCGTGTTCTCTGCTTGCCGTGCCCGGCAGTGCCGGTGGCGTCTCTTTCCAAGCAGCTCTGCGTGGCTCTCGGCAGGCTCCCACCAGCGTTAGTCCCTGCTCTAGCGGCAGCAGGACGTAGCTCGTCTCCCAAAGCTGGTGACGCCGGCGGGGGTGACCAGCTGCGGGGGGAGAGCAGACCAGGACGGGGTCTTCTCTAAAGGCTCCGCTCCCAGTTGATCGTCCGGCGTCAAGTGACGCTGAGGCCCTTTGTGCAAGCTTGGCCTTCCCAGTTTGGGATCCACTGGGCATTGTTTGGGCCTGGTATAGAAACGTGTCCCCAGATAACGGAGCTTTGCTCCTCTCAGCGTCCCTTGGCCTGCCTTTGCCTCGGTTGTCCTCCGTCACCGGGGCGTTGCAGTGTGTGTGGGGGGAGAGGGTGCTGAGCTCCGGGCTCACGGCGCTCCGGC